CTCTTGAGCTGCTCAGCTATTTCTTGGGACGCTCTCAAGCCATTCCTTATGGTACATGTGTTTTGGAGGCTGGTCCCATCGAGGGACTGGGCTCAGCAGTAAATCACTCGGGTGCCTGGCTGCTCGGAGCCCTCGAACAGTGGTGCTGAGTGGAGCTTCCTGGCTCCTCGTCCTTATCCTCAGTAGCTCCATCTTTCCAAGTTGTCAGTTCCTTCAACTCTCTGCTAGTCCTGCCCTCCAGGCCCTCACCTAATTCTTTTTGTTTGTTTTTTAGATTTAAAAAATGTTTCATTGATTTCAGGGAGAGAGAGATAGAAACATCAATAATGAGAATCATTGATAGGCTGCCTCCTGCATGCCCCCTACTGGGGGATTGATCCCTCAATCCGGACATGTGCCTTGACCAGGAATCAAACCATGACCTCCTGGTTCATGGGTCGACACTCAACCACTGAGCCACACCGGCTGGGCCCTCCCCTATTTCTTTCATTCCTTCCCAGAGAAGAGAAATGAGGCTGTGAGACTTCCTACTTCTCAGGTCCTGGTTGTGTGCGTCTACAGCAGGGGTGGGCAAACTTTCTGACTCGAGGGCCACAGTGGGTTCTTAAACTGGACCGGAGGGCCGGAACAAAAGCATGGATGGAGTGTTTGTGTGAACTAATATAAATTCAAAGTAAACATCATTACATAAAAGGGTACGGTCTTTTTTTTTTTTAGTTTTATTCATTTCAAACGGGCCGTAGTTTGCCCACGGCTGGTCTACAGACTGAGGGGCAGACTCACCTGCTCTCTACATGGTTGTTTTTCTCTCTCTCTCTCTTTCTCTCCTCTCATTTTGCCCAGGCAGTTTGGTTGAATATGGGTAGGAGATGAGTTTCCAGCATTTCAAAGGAGCTAAATGTCTGAAACTTGAGTCTGAATCCAGCCCGAGTTGCTGCTCCCACATTTGTTCTGGAAGTTCTGCAGCTGGGAGCTCTGTACCAACCTCCCCCCCCCCCCCCCCCCCCGTGTCTGAGGCAGCGTGGAGGGGTGGATCCATCCTAGGCTCTGGGGAAAGGCAGATAGGAATGCAAAGTTCAGCCTGGACACAGGCCTTCACCTCTGCCTCAGTGTCCTCACCTGTCAGGTGAAGAGGGGACATTGATCTGAGTGGCTGGGCTGTTGGGGGGATCTAATGAGAGGGCGTTCCTCAGGTGATGGGCTTTCAGTGAGGACTGGGCAGACGCTCTCCACCACCAGCCCCACTGGTAGGGAGGGGCCACCTTTTTTTAACCGCCCAAGTTCTGGGTTCTGATCCAGCCCCCCAGCTGGTCTTGGATCCCTAGTGTAGACAGAGTGGACAGGCCTGGACGGCCAGGCCCCTGGTGCTCTCCACAGCAAACATGTGGTATGTTAGGAAACAAGCAGCTCCGCTGAGACCGCCCTGCTGGCAACAGAAGAAAAATGTGGATTATCTTGAGTTCAGAACTTGGATCCCAGGTGGCCTGGAGAGTCGAGGTGGTAGGATGGGAGATGATTGATGAGGTTTTGGTTGTTTCCTCTGGGCCTTCTGTGCTCATGCTCGGTGCTGCCATGGTTACATACATGGAGGCACGGAGCACCCAGAGAGGCCCATGCTTGGGGCAGCACCTCTGGCCACTCTGGATGGGAAGGTGGTGCCCACCCAAGGCTCCCTTCCATGGCAACTGGTGGAGGCTTCGCCATGTGAGCTCAGATGGTCTCTTGCATCCTGCCCTTGTCTCCAAGGGACCCCTGGTGGTGGCTGCAGAGTGGTGGGGCTGCAAGAACCAGGGAGGTCATCTCGTTAGCCCCGCCCATCTCAAATAATTCCACAAATGGGGAAACGAAGGGCCAGAGAGGGAGAGCCTTGCGCTAGGTCACAAGGCTATTTCAGGACTCAAATTCATGGTCCACTTGCCCTTGGGATCAGGCCTAGGAGAAGCATCTCACTTTCTTCGGGGCCAGCTCTGCTCTTACGTCCTCCGGGAGTAGGTTTATGGCTCCTTGGTGTCTCTAAGATCTACCCTTGGAACTCCTGCCCCTGTGACCTTTCGAAATGCAAATCGGATCATGTTGACCCCACTCCTCCTTCAGTAGCTTCTCAGGGCCTTTGGAAAAACCCCACGACCTTCACAAGACATTTAAGGTCCTTCAAGATCTGGCCTTTGTCCCCTGCTCTGCTGTCACCCTCCAGGCTCACTGGGCCAGAGTAGGTCACTCCTGTCCTCTTGCCTTTGCACATGCTGTTCCTGGCCCTCAAATGCCCTTCCCCTCTGTTCTTGCAGGCTTCTCAGCTCACTCTGTGGCCTCCTCTGACCCCTTAGGCTCAGACACTCCTTCCTCTGAGCTCCCAGAGCTCTTGGTAATTCCTCTATTAGCACTTATGTCATCGCCTTGGAATTATTTGTTTACGTGTATCTTCTCCCCAGGGTAGAAAGCATGTCTTGCACATCTGTACGCCCCCCTCCCCCAACAGTGCCTAGCAGAGTGCCTGACACCCAGCTTAGGTTCAGCGAATGTTTGTAGAGTGAATGACTGAAGTACTTGTTTGTCCCCAAAGGTCCCCTGTACTCTACCTGCTATGTCACTGCCTGTGAGCCCTGCCTGACTCCTGGCTCCTGTCCGCCTTTGCCGTCCACAGCTGGGGCCTCTCTTCTCTCTCCAACAGCTGGCCCAGCCCTGGCCAGCCCTGGGGCCAATCATGGCCTTAGCCCAGTGAGATTTAAAGCGCCCATGTCCAGAAGTACAGGTGACTCAACCTCCCATGAGCTTGGACCCAAGTTCTGCTCTCACCTGGGTCTGGGCACTTGGTTCCGCCCGTATCCCACAAGGCAGGCGGCTCCACGGCGACCATTTCCTCCAGACCCCAGCCCTTCTTCACGTGGGCCTTGCACTGGTCTAGAACACGGTCCCTGAGGATGTGTGCGGCCTCCCCCGCCAGGGCCAGCGCTCAGCTACCAGGCATCTGACACCCCCTGACCCATTCACGTGTCATTCCTTCCTTGGACACCTGCTATGTGCCAGGCACCGGGTCTCTGCTGCCCCAGAGCTCACAGGTGGGGTAGGAGGGACAGCCCTGCCACATAGATGACATTGGGAATAGCGTGATCAGTGCTAGACAAGGGCCAACACGGGCTGTGGGGTCACAGAGCAAGGTGCTGAAGCAGCCGCAGAAGTGGGGTGTGACCTGAGATGGCCGGGGAGGCAGGAGGTATGGGGAGGGGGTGGGGCTCTGGAGGGGCAAGGGCTGGAGAAATTTCCCCTCTTCACCCCCCACACCCCCATCACAGACGCAGAGCCCTCAGCCATGTTTGCGGGGCTGCCTGCACCTGTCCTGGGAGCCTGGTCTTCTCAGAGGAGGGGCTGAGGGAGGGGCGGGGAACTGCCCTGTCGTCCAAGGCTCAGACCAGGCAGGCCACAAACACTGTCGTCTTCTCTCTCTCTCTCTCTTTTTTTTAAACAAGTTTTTATTTAATTTATTATTTATTTAATTTATATTTTATTTATTATTTTATTTTTAAAATCCTCACCCGAGCATATTTTTCCATTGATTTTTAGGGAGAGTGGAAGAGAGAGGGAAAGACAGAGAGCAATATCGATGTGAGAGAAACATGTCGATTGGTTGCCTCCTGCACATGCTCCAACCAGGGCCTGGGCTGGGGAGAAGCCTGCAACGGAGGTACGTGCCCTTGACCGGAATTGAACCTGAGACCCTTCAGTCCGCAGGCCAACGCTCTACCCACTGAGCCGAACCTAGGGGAGATATATATATAGTTTTAGCGAGAGGAAGGGGGGTTGGAGAGAAACATTGATGTGAGAGAGAAACATCCATTGGTTGCCTCCCGTACGCATCCCAACCAAGGTTTCAACTTAGATATGACCCTGGCTGGGAATGGAACCTGTGACCTTTCCGTGCACGGGATGATGCTCCAAACAAGTCAGCCACCCTGGCCAGGCGAGAGCTCTTCTTTATTCAGGCAGCATTTGGTGAGGTCCCCATCCTGTGCCAGGACTGGGCTGGAAACTGTGGACTGATGGGGGGAACCCAGAGACAGTCCCGGCCTCAAGGGGCTCCTAGGCCAATGGTGAGAGTCGCCCAGGGTAGAAATAAACCAGGAGGGCACAGCCCGAGATGAGCAATGGCAGCGGAAGGGAGGGGATGGCTAGCTCGAGCCCAGGAAGCACCGCCGCACCTCCCAGGTGTCCCAGAACCTTCACACCAGTCTATGGGGCCGGGGGAGGGGGCCGGGCAGAGGGGCACCCATCCTCTGGAGTCATCGGATGACCTGTGACCTCCCAGGCAGCAGCGGCGAGGGTCCTGGGAATCTTTCTAGATCTGGCTTCTAGTCCTTTCTCCACCACTTGAGAGCTGAGTGGCTGGGCAAATGACTTACCTCAGTTCGTAAATGCCGCGCCTCAGTTTGCTTCTCTGTAAAATGGGGTTAGACTCGTGCCTCCCTCTACGGTTGCAGCGAGCATTGGAGGAAATAACCGTGTGAAGACGCTTAGCACATACTAGGCGCTCATCGTCTGGTGCTGGATTGTGATAACAGTAACAATTTCAACAACCGGGAAGCACAGATCCCTGTGGATTCATGTGTGGGGTGGGGCGGGACGGGCATTTATGGGGATGGGGTGGAGGGAACAACTCAGCCAGCCTCCGCGGCGGCCAGACCTCCAGGACCCGGCTGTTGCGTCACCCCTCCCTTCTCCCCACTGCAGGGCGCGTGTCAGAGGCGCAGGTGTCCGCGGCCGTGCAGCCGCATCCCTCGCCGCCTTGGCCGCCCCCGCGCCGCCTGCTGCGGTCGGTCCGCCCCGCGTCCTCCCCTAACCTTGGGTCTGGCCTGGCGAGCCGCGGGGGCCGGGAAAGTTTGAGTCACCGTAGGGGGCGGGCCCGTGACCCTGAACGGGGTGGGCTCTAGGACCCGCCTCGGGCTCCCAGCAGGGGGACCCCGCCTCGCCTCGCCTTGAGCCCCTGTCCCGAGCGCACGCACCGTCCGCGCGCCGCAGCCGTGTACTGGGCGGCCGCGGAGCGCGCGGGACACACGGACGGTCCGTTCGCCACGACCTGCGCCTCGGCCGCCGAGGCCCGTGGCCGCGCTCAGCACGATGCCCCCGGCGCTGCTCCTGCGGCTGCTGCTGGCCGTCTCCGCAGCGGCGGCCAGCGAGCCCGGGTCGGCGCTGGCCCCTGCCACGGGCGACGCCACCCTGGCCATCGTCTTCGATGTCACCGGCTCCATGTGGGACGACCTGGTGCAGGTGATGGACGGCGCCTCGCGCATCCTGGAGCGCAGCCTGAGCCACCGCAGCCGGGCCATCGCCAACTATGCGCTGGTGCCCTTCCACGACCCAGGTAGCGCTCCCACGGTGCCCTCCCCTGACCCAGAAGCGCCCACCGCGCCCCGTCCGCGCCCTGTGGCAGCGCTTAATCGCCCGCCCGCCCGCCCGCGGTTGCAGGCGCACCTGGACGCCCAGGGCTGCGCGCAGGCGGGGCGGGCGGAGCGCCTTCTGAGCACTGGCGCGCAGCCCACCGGGGCACCGGGGCGGGCCGGACACCGCCCCGTCCTTCCCCGGGACCCACAGTCCCCTGTCCCGCGCCTTGCGAGTTCAGGCGACTGGCAGAGAACTGGGGGGCGCTGCGTTCAAGTGCTGCGCAGCCACCTCCTGGCTGTGCGACTTGGGCAAGTGACCCCACCTTCCCGAGACTCACTTTCCCCGGGGAGAACTGCCCCCCAAAGTGCTGAGCCGTTGAAAGGAGGCATCGTGGACGAGCCTTTGCGTTTTCACTTTCTGTTAATTCTTAGAATCGGCGCCCAGCACGGGCTGGGAGGCCAGGAGAGCCGCTAGGCCAGGTGAACTCACTCCTGCCCGGCTGGCCCGTCACCTGTTTCCCAGGGAAAACAGCAGCTCCCGCGGGCCAGGTTGCCTCACCCACAGCCCTGCTCCCACTGCCTGGTCCCCTCCAGCCCCTAACTCTCAGCCCAGTGTTGGGGACATGCGTTTGACAAGGGCCCCTGGGAGACCCCACTGTGGGGCCTTTCGGGAGAAACAGCTGAGGATGGTTCCCCACGTTCCTCTGAGCGAGAGGACGGCTTCCCCCCAGCATTTCTCAATTAAAAAACTCCGACCCCCAGCACCAGGGGGGCGGGGAGCACGCCGAGCACCTGCCTGCCCACCTGCTGATCCCAGTTACTGTGTCACTGTTTGCTTCATCTCCTTGCGCCATCACCTTTCTATCAGAGGGTAGCGTTAGAAAGCCAACCTGAAGAACTCAGCTTGCAAGATTGTACTGCAGAGTGTTCTTGCGCTGAAAACCCACAGCGCCCAGGCTGTGAGGCGGCCAGCCCCGTGGGAAGAGTTTGCCCCCGTCACAGCATCACTCCGGATTCTGGAGGGATGGGCAGCGGTGGGTATGACCCGACCCTGTGGTCCTCGGCTGAGGGTGAAGGTCCCTCTGCTTCCAGGAGCTCCGGTTCCGGAGGGTCCCGAAGCCCAAAGCCCAGAGCCAGGGAGCTAGGAAGGTATTTCTGGGAGCATCCAAAGCACAGCTCCCCCCTCAGGGGCAGGGGCAGTCAGGTGGGGGAGCTGGGAAGATGTGAGGTGTGTCCTGGGCCTTCTGCTCAGACACAGGCCACCCCCCCACCCCAACCCAACTCTCGCCCTTCTGGATCATTCTTGGGCTTCCAATGCCATCCCCCTTCTCTTACACTTGGAGAAACTGAGGCTCAGGACATGGATGGGACTTACCCCAGGCCACCTGCCAGGGTGATGTAATTTGTCCCTAAAACGCTGGGCTGCAGTTGCAGAGCAAGGGAGCAGCCTGTTGGAACCCAACCTGGCGTCCCGGACTGGGCCTCCCGCGGGCTGTCCTCACTGCCCCCTCTCTGGCCATCAGCTTCCCTAAGCCCCCTTCCACCCCCTCCTCTCCTGTCCTCCTGGGTGCTGAGCGGGTGCAGGACTCTCCAGCCTTCACCCCATCCTCTGTGAAGCAGGGAACCAGCCCTCCTCCCTCCTGACAGGCACCCCCAGGTCCAGGCATGGGGGGCGGCTCAGTGTTTATGGAGCCCCTGCTGTGTGCACAGCCTGTGAGCCGCCCAGGGTGAAGGGGCAGGAGCCGGTGGCTGCTGGAGACGGGACAGACTGAGAGGAGGAAGGGGCCCGTGCTGGCGCAGGTGCACCGAGGGCTCCAAGCATTTCCCTGGCGCTGGGGACCTGGGGAAGCCGCGTGCTTCCTGAGCTCGCTGGGTGGCGGCTGGCATGTGGGGACCGGTGTGCGGGAGGAGGGCTGAAATGGGAACGGGGGAGAGGCCAGATGGGTCTGGGCTCTGACTTCGGGGCTGAGGATCTGGAGCGCGGAGATTTCCTTCTATGGACTGTGAACTGCTGCTGCAGGTCCTGAGCAGGGATTGGAGCTGTGGTGTAGGTTTAGCTGTGCCTTTTGAATCAGCCAATGGCATCCCTTTGGTGGAAGGGGAGCTGGAAAAATGGGGGTTTTAGCTGATTCTGCACCCCCCCCCCCCCGCCCCAGGGCTGCGTGCCTGCAGGAGCCTCTGCAAGGAAAGCCCCGTCCTCACCCCCAGGACCTGCCTGTGTGGGGCAGGTGTCAGAGGTTCTGGGCTGCTCTGGCGCGGAGATAAACCAGGACCTGCGCTTTGGCAAGGCGTTTCCAAGTGTTTAAATGAGAAAAGTGGAAAGTTCCCAAACTAGCGAGTTAGAATTTTGCTAATGGTTTCATTTTGGCTGAAAACCTGATTGTTTTCAGTGTTTCCCTATTAAAATACTGCAGAAGCACCTCGTCTTTTGTCTGCAGCTTTGATTTTTTTTTTTTTTTTTTTTAGGATTAAGTTTCTCCAAGTGGAATTCTTAGGACATTTTTAGCACACGGAGTAGGTGGACGATCCTTTAAATTGTTTTACAAAATGTTTTGAGAGTTTAAACTTCTACCAGAAGCATTTGAGGGGCTGTTTCAGAGAAGCTGTGCCTACCACTGGGAATTAGGATAAAAACATCCCCCCTCCCCCCAATTCAAAAGATGGAAAATGGCATCTTCTTGCGTCCATTGCTGGTGAGGTTCAGTGCGTCTTCACGTGTCATGCGATCGTTTTTGGCGCGAATCTCTTTTGTAAATGTGAGTTCCTTTTTCCACTGGGTTTTTAGTGGGTTTCTCATCAGTTGAGGACTTGATATTGATGAGATTGATGAGATTAACTGGATTTTGTTATGTGGTTAGTATTTTTCCTGGTTGTTGGCTTTTTGCATTGTTCGTCATTCCTGATGTTCTGAAGTTCAAATGTTTATGTTTTAAGTCTTAAATATAGTGGAATCTGCAGACGTCTCCCTTTGTAATTTCTTGACTTTCATGCTTACGAAATACTTTTTTTTTTTCTATCACAAAATCAGTTAGGTACATGGTCTAAGCTTTTTCATTTATTTTCTCTTTTTCTTGTTGTATTTAATTCTTTAACCTGAAATTTAAAAAAATTGATGCATGGTGTGAAAAAATAATCTACTGTAATTGTTTTAGAATGGAATAATTAATTGGTTAGATACATTTGGTTGAATAATCCATTCATTTGGATCCTGCCTTTATCTCAGATGACTTTATTAAGAATTTATTAATGATTATTTTTTTATCCTCTCCCCTAGGATATGCCTTTTTTTTTTTAAATTTTAGAGAGGGAAGAAGCAGGAGAGAGAGAAACAGCGATGTGAGAGACAAACAGCAATCAGTTGCCTCCCGTGTGTGCCCTGACCAGAAATCAAACGGCAGCCTCTCTGGTGCCTGGGACGAGGCTCCAACAACGGAGCCACCTGCCAGGACCTCTGACAAGAACTGACCTGGGCTTCCCGTCCTGTCCCGTTGGGTGGCACTTCTCCTGGGAGCACAGCATAGTCACCATTCGGCTCATCCTGTCTACTAAGAGGGCCCACCCTTCCTTGTATTCTTTTTTCTTAAAATAAAACTCACTCCCTCCCCCCCCAGCTTTACTGAGGTGTAATCGACACATTCTCTTGGCTTGTTCACAGTGGAGAGGTGTTGACTCCATAGACTTGTAAATCGCAAGTGATTTAAGCAGCGTTAGCTAATACCTTCATCCGTCACTTAATTATTTCTTCTTTTTTGCGGCGAGAACATTTAAGATCTGCTCTCTTGGCAACAGTCAAGGATGTGACACGGTCTTACTGACTACAATCACACGCTGTACGCTAGAGCCCCAGAACGTACCCATCTCATCATTGGACGTTCGTCCCCCTTGCCAGCATCTCCCCGTCCCCCAGCCCCTGGTAAACACCCGGGGCTTTGTGTCTATGAGTTCGGCTTTTTTTAGATTCCACATATAAGGGAGACCATAGAGTATTTGTCTTTCTCTACTTATTTCACTTGGCACAGCGCCCTCCACGTTGGCACAGACAGCGAGAGCTCTTTCTCCTAGCTGTATCTATTCATCAGCAGGCAGTTAAAAAAGTTTCATCAACTCTAAATTTTAGAACAGCTGTAGACTTATCGAATTATTGCAAAGACAGTACAGAAAGTTCCAGTTACCCCACAACCAGTTTCCCCCGTTATTAGCATCTTATGTTGGGCATTTATCACAATGAAAGGGTCGATAAAGATACGTTTTTTAGTAACTAAAGCCCGTTCTCTATCCACATGTATGTCTTCGGTTTTTCCTTAATGTCGTTTTTCTGTCCCAGAATCCCACCCAGGGTCCCAGGTTATGTTTCGTCCTCATGTCCCTTAGGCTCCTCTTGGTGGTGACAGTTTCTCAGACCTTGCTTTCGACGAGCTTGACCAGCGTTGCTCTGGTGTCTGGTCCCTGAGCTGTGGTTTGTCCAGTGTTTTTCTCCAGTCAGACTGGGCAGTGGGCGGAACATTCTCATCACATCGTATCGAGCGCACGTGCTCTCAAGATGACTGCTCACTGTTGATGTTGACCTTGATCACCTGGCTGAGGTTGGCAGGTGTCTCTGCTGTGAAGTTACTTTATTTTTTTCTTCCCTTTCCATACTGTCCTCTTGGGAGGGCAGCCCCTATGTGAGTAGGGGATGGAGCACGTATATAAGTCATGTGGATTCTTCTATGTGAGAGACTTCTCTCTTCTCCGACACAGTTATTGGTTCAGTGTGGCTCACGGATATTTACTGTATACTTTGGGCTATCACCTAATACTGCCTTATTTAGTTGCTCAATATTTCCCACCTGTGGTCGTCAGCAGCTCTTGCCCCTGGCTCCCGTGTGCCTTTGACATACCCCATTGTTGTATATATATTTTTAAGCACTATCTTACTTTCTGGCACTATGAGTGGGTCCAGATTCATTTGATACATGTCCTGCCCTGTCCTGGGATTAGC